ATATAGCTCCAGGTTCTCATTTACAACAATTGCTTCAATGATCTTCTTCACACCAGTGGTTGTTGCAAAGTTGGCTGAGCCACCGACTATTGTATCAATAAGTTGCTCTGTCTTCATCCAGAGGCTATTTACAAACATATGCGTTTGCTCAGTTTGACTCATGTTGTGTGTGGGACAGGCTACTAGTAACCTCTTGAACCTCTTGTACCTCTTGTAAGCATCACCTAGTGACTCTCTTTCTTTCTTCTTAAAATTCACAATTTCATATCTTTTACGAATGTAAACTGAAGCAGGAAAGTATTCATCAAGAAAAGTATGCTCCATTTGTTCCCAAGTGGTGATACTTCCAGCAGGAAATGAGTAAAACCACTCTTCAGCATCTTCAGACAGCGTGAATGGGAACATCCTTAATTTCTTGGCTTCTTCAGAGTGACCCTCAATCTTCAAATTAGTGCTCATGGTGAGAAATCTCTGCAAATGCTTATTGGCATCTTCATTGATCTTTCTGGTGAAAGATCTGTTCTTGAGTTGGTGGATGGTTGAAGGATGCAGTTGAAAGTTTGTAACATTGACCGGTTGATTCAAAATAGTTAACCGACCTAATGGAGCATTTTCTCCTCTGTAGTCCCCAAGAAGTCTCTCTGGTGGTGGATTTTCAGCCATGGGTTTTACCTCTTCAGAATCTGAATCGGAAGGATCTGAAGAACCTGATGACTCCTGTCTATCTAACTGAGCTACTATGAGCCTCGCGTGAAAAGTTCTTTCTATTTCTGCATCAAACGTAAATTCAACTGAGGAATTTCCTCGCATGCAAAGGTTAGGAAAAATCAGTCAAACAAAAATATGGAAATTATAGAAAAGAAATTTTAGTTTCAGAGAAACAAAATTTTAATTGAACTCCAATTAAACTCAATGATTAGGCTGTCTCTGGAAACGGTGCCAAAAACTTGATTGGAAAAATAGTAACTGTACTATTTTTCCTCTTATAATAACAGGGAAAATTTCCCAAATGTAAGTCTCAAGGACTGCACAGAATTACCGAGTTTAATGCAAGTTTCAATTAAACAAAACTCAATTTGGGGTTTGGTTTGGTTATTGTACTTAACAATAATTAAAAATATGCAAAGTTAAATTATGACTTTTTTTAATAGTGTGAATACTATGCTAGGGGTGAGTGTGTGGTTTGCCCAGGAATAACCTTCACTAATGATCTCTTCTACAAGTTTATTACCTTCAACTACCGGCCCTTTAGATTATTTGCCCCTAAGTCCTCAGTGAGAAAAACTTTAACCATCCATCCTAAATCCTAAGTCCTTAGAAATATCTAATGGAGTCAAGCCTTTATCTTATCAAGGGCTAAATCCGGTGACTAAAGGGTATCCCTAGGCCTAGGTGATATCTACTATAGCCTAATCGTACAAAAACCTTAATAACCGCGGTCCAACTGGTTGTTAACCGTAACTCAATCCTAATTGGTCCGATCAAGAAAGCATTAGAAACCTTGAACGATTAAATTGAAAGGAAACTACTGTATTAAAAATCAATAAATTCATAGTCAATATATTCGCAAATCAGGGACATCCCCTGGCATTGGGTGGTTTAGCCGCACATAATATTCAAAGAGATTTTAATAATAATAATAATGATAGACATTACACAAATTAATGGTGAACTCTGATCTTCAATTGCTTCCGCTCATGAAAGGTCTTCGTTCTCCCAAAACTTGCATAGACTTCAATCTTTTATCGTCAAATTCTCCAATCGTCCAAAAGTCCTTTTTTTCTTCTCCAAATCAGGTATTTATAGTTTCAGGTCATCCCTATATGATGTCCAATATCCAAAGTACTCTTAATGATCCAAGAATACAACAAAATCTCAAAACTGGAATTTTATACGCCTAGGCTGTCAGCTCCTATGATTCTTCACCCAACATTCATACTTCAACTGACCTGACACGGGCCATGTCGTGTGACACGGGAGCCCGTGTCGCCTTCTGCCTTGCTCCCATCTTCACTTCTTTCCAAATTCTCCCATTGACACGGCCCGTGTCAGGTGACACGGCCACCCGTGTCAGGGCTCCTGAAGCACTTCTTCCCGAACTTCTGAATTCTGCACTTTTCTGCCTCGATTTGTCCTGTTTCATTCTTTTATTCCTAAAACACTAAAATACCAAACCAAAGCATAAAATACGCTAAAATGGAATAAAACACCAGTCAATTAAAAGAAACGATAACTAAAATAAATGCAAAATTCCTGTGTAAAAACCACTGGTCGGTTCAACTTTAACTTTTGAATCATCATCAAGACATCCTTCAGTAATAGCAATGGCAAAAAATTCTTGCTTCGATACCGACTTTCTGGTCTACCCTGTTCTGAGCTCATAATCTTTATCAGCTTTTATATACTCATAGTACTTCTCTTTAATTTACTCATGTGTATATTTTGGCACCTTATGAGAACTAGATCTGTAGAAATCATCAACATGCAAAAAAAATTAAACATAATATCACATTTGTTGTATTTCATGCATATAGTTTTTGAAAAGTAACATGCATGCCAGTAAAGAATCTGTCATACCTTGACGATCCACCGTCAACTGCATTCGCAATTCTTGGAGCTTCAAATTTTTCCTCCATTCTTCTACAATATTCTTCTTCTCCAAAAAACCAAAAAAGACTTTATCCCTGCTTAGTCTCCTCCACACCATTTCTGGTGGCATTGACTTCAAGAGATCTGCCAATAAAACCCCTTCAAAACAAGGAAGTCAACAAAAACTTTCATTTGAAACAGCATGCAACAATTTGTATAACATATAATATGTAAATAAGGAGGTCAGGAAGAAATTCATGTTTTATCTTATTCAGAAGAACACCATCTTAGATTTCCATGACTCATTTTTCAAATTTCTTGGACAAAGAGAAGGAGATGGACTTTGTGTAGATTAGTGTGAATTTTTAGATTTCTTGGACAGAGAGAAGGAAATGTGCGTTAGTGTTAATGATCTTGACAGAGGAAAGTTCTTTTTTTGTTCTCTTGGTATAATAAATGACATATAGAAGACAAAACATTTTATCTCATTTAATATTACTCATATCATACTCTATCTATTATCATTTGGTTTTTCAGTTCAAACACTTCAATATACATAAAACACGTTTTACACATTTTGACATACATATGTTATTCTAGTATATTTTATACACTTAATAACTTTTTAGTGTATATATATATATATATATATATATATATATATATATATATATATATATATATATATATATATATATATATATATATATATATATATATATATATATATATATATATATATATATATATATATATATATATATATATTGTTCTGAATTGGGCCAACACTTGCCTCGCCGTTGGGGAGGCCCAATCCATCGCCTTTTCCCAAGGTCCAAAGGCATGTAGTCCAAACTGGAGAACGTTGGATATTTTTCCACGTGTCCGCTAGGAAGACGTGCCCACATGTCCATATCGTCATCATAACTGTCCTCCGGGAATCATGGGTCCAGCACCTGCTCTCTCGGAGCAGTTGATCAGGAAGGAAGCCACGTACTGGTCTCCATACGCACGTAAGTCCTGACAATTTTCATTGTTGGTTCTCATCGTGGCCCAATATTGAAGACCTTGGCCCAACGTTGGGAGCTATAAATATCCTCTCACTTGAGAGAATCAGGTATTGATTCATTCACAGTCTGATACTCACTTACTTGCATTAAGCTCTGAACCTCACTTTGACATTAGAGTGTCTTGCAGGTACCTCCCCCACTTCAACTTCAACTGCTGCTCGACTCGAAGCTTATGGGCTTTATACTATCTTTTGAAACATATAAATTTCAATTTTTAATACAAATTTATAATCTGATATTTTTATTAATACCGTTAATTATTGGTTTGTTAATTTTAGAAACCAATAAAGGTGGTTCAACCATAAATTAATTTACTGTCCCTTATATTATATATGGTATTCCCTAAAAGGATGTGAAAAGACTAAATTATTCAGACTCAAATCATTCACCATAAATTTCAAATTCACGTAGGCAACTAGATTTTTCAAATTTTTAGGTGATATTGGAATTTCGAAAAGGATATTACAAAATTTGCAAACAAATGAGAATTTACGGTATTTTTGTAAAAATTTTGGTACTTTGTACCAGAAATTACAAAATATCTGATATTTTCGTATCAGATCAAAATATCTGGTATTTTCATTTATCATTTATATCGGAAATTTTAAAATTTTCGGTGCGTCACATAATATCAGAAATTTTGAAATTTCTGGTGGTTCAATTTCTTTTAAAAAATTACTGAAAATTTAGAAATTTCTGATATTTTACATTTTCTTGATATAAAATTTCTAGAAATTTCAACTTAATTGAAATTTCCGATATACCGGAAATTGTAAATACATTATCGGAAATTTATAATTCCGAAAATTTTGTAGTGGTGTACGCGAAATTTAGGTGGTATCAGAAATTTCAATCATAATTTTGGAGGTGACGTGTTAAACTCTCTATTTCAACGCATTGTTATTAGATATGATATATTATTTTTTATATATGATATATTATTTTTTATTATTAAGTTTGATTCTAATTTAAAATATTTTTCTGATGACATTTACTCAACCCACACCAATACCGTATGAGTATCCGATTATTTTAAATAGAAAGATAGCCCCCACATCATGAGTTGTTACTGGGCTCCTCCATGAAACTAAATAATGAGCAACTCACTGGTAGCAACACTGCCTCTGTAAAAGAACCAGAAGTAATCAAAAAAGCAAAACAGAAAAGGTAAAGCAAACGACGTCGTCGTGATTTCCGGAACCAATGTCACCGATGCAACAGACACATTATCATCAATGCTTTTTCTCCCTTTTCTTTATTAAAAGAATTAAAGAAATCATTCTCATTTCTTTCAAATAACTAATCTAAAATATTCACATTTTCACACTCATATGATTTTCAATGCGATCATTAATATTAGCGCCGCGAACCACGCCGGAAATCCCCGTCGATTTCCGTGCACCACCGCCATCTCCGGTAGCATCCGGCCGTAGATCTACCGTAACAAACAACGAGTTTCTGACCGAGTTTTTGGAAACCTCGCTTCGAGTTCCAGATCTAGTGTTACCGAACAAGATTTTCCCGAGGCAAAGCAATCACGAAACGCCACCGAAAGTCGATTTCGTTTCACTGTGTTTCCACGAGGATGAAGATCTAATCGACGTCGTTTCGGACTCCATAGCCAGTTTTGGATGCTTCCAGCTTATCAACCATGGAATATCGCCGCGAATTATGGCTGCTGCAGTCGAGGCAGCCAGAGGAATATTTCTTGTGCCGCCGGGAAAGCGAAAAGTAGTATCGAGATCGCCGGAGAAGCTTTGGGGTTTCGAGGTGTATCATGAAGGAGATGATGAGGGAAGTGAATTGAATGAAGAATTTATTTGGTGCAAAGATGAAGAGTTGAAGTTGAAATTGAAGGGAATTTGGCCTATTGGATATCCTAATTTTAGGTAACACCACATACAACACTAAAATGTCACATTGATGCATATAATTATATTTGATTTATTTATTTAAAATTTTCTATATTTTCTATTAATGTGAACATGTTAGTGTTTATGTGCCCGATAATATTAGAATTTATTGGGATTTCATTGTGATGGTTACTTGTTATTTGATTTTTTTTTTCTGTCTTATTTATTCTAGAATGTTATCTAATATGAAATTTGTTGAAATTTCAGCAAGAAGATAGAAGTTCTAGGGTCACGTGTGGAGAAGGTGGCAGAGAAATTATTTCCTATCATATTGAAAAATGTTCCTAAGAAATTAGCAAGTGATGGTGGTATAATTGGCCATGGACATGAAGTTGGGACACTTTGTTGCATTTACAAGCATCCGAGAGATGTTAATAGGAATGATCAATGGGTTGACTCTTTGAAATATGATGTGATTAGGATGCTGATTAGGGGAACTGATTACTCTCATTCTTTTTGTTTGCATGTGTGTGATGGTTCTTCAGAGTTTCATGTTTACTCAAAGAAAAGTTGGTTGTCTTTCTGTCCTGAACAAGGTGCTCTTGTTATCACTGCCGGAGATCAATTACAGGTTAATTTACACTTTTACCCCTCTTATCACTTTGAATAATTCTATGTTTTATATGAATTTTTAATCAGAATCGTCTTAAAAGATATAGAAGACGAACTTACATAAAACTTTCAAAAAATGTAGAGAATTATATTTCGGGTTAAAGTGATAATTTATCTAAGTTAAAGAGTTTAATATTGATTGAATGCAGAAATTGAGTGGTGGACACTACAAGGATGTGATTGGAAAGGCAATCTTTAAAGGAAAAAGAGAAGACAATATTTCAATGGCTTTCCTCTATTCTACTCAAAACATCGAGAGAAAAATTCAAACCAATAGAGAAAGAACCATTTCAATTAGCCAACAAGCCATCTTTGGTGTAATTTTGACACTCATGTACCATGTACTCATTTTTGTCTTGAATTGTTTTTGATGTTTTGATAGAATATGAACTTGATGAAATACAAAATACTCTCATTCATACTAAGTTTACATACTTGTACAATGTTGTTCCTTTAGGACTGTAGTTGGAAGATTATGTTTGTTTTATTGTTGATTCTTTTTAATGATTGGCGTTTCTTTTCTTACTCTTACTATTGAAAAAAATCATGTGATTAAATTGTGGAGTCCGGTCAAAATCTTCTGTAAATTTTGTTTTATAGAGATTTGTTATTTATTGTAGTCTTTTTTCACTCAATGAATTAGTCTCTATAGAGGGATTACACAAAATACCTTTTATACTAACAAATTCTTGTACAATTTTAGCACTCAACCCAATCTCAAAGACCTCCTCAACAAAAAATGGTCATTTTTATGTTGGGGTTGGTTGAAAAAAAAAAAAAAAAAAAAAAATATATATATATATATATATATATATATATATATATATATATATATATATATATATATATATATATATATATATATATATATATATATATATATATATATATATATATATATATATCACCTTTTTTTTTAAAGAAAGAGGAAGTCTAAGACTATATATAGAATTAAAAAAATTTCAAGTTCCACATCGCTTAGTTTAATGATGGAAGATAGAAATCTAAGGTTATATATAAGATTCAAATTTTTCTTTACAAATGTATCAATCAAAAACACTTTAAGTTTGTATTTGATTCTTTATTTTCTCTTATAATCTTGTTTTAGAGTGTAATGAGAGATAGTTAAATATTTGCTTTGGAGAGTGTGAGTGCATTGGAGTCTTGGGGTGTTTGAGGGTATTCTATGTGTTGTAACAAGTTTCACATAATGATTTTCTCTGGTTGTCATTTGACAACGGTTGTGATTTTTTCTTCCGGTTTTAGAGTTTCCACGTTAATCTCCCGCGTTGTTATTTTGTTCCTCTTTTTCTTTATGTTTTGTTTTTTCCCAACAAGTCCTTATAGATAAGACTGTCTGTGAGGGATGAAGATCTTGGTATGGAACTGCCTTAACCCCTAAACCATCAGAGCTCTCAAAAACATGATAAAATCTCTCTCTCTCTCTCTCTCTCTCTCTTCTCATATTTTATTTTTAATTGAAACTAAGAAAAATAGCAATGATAATGTTTTCAAAAGTTTAAGGAATATTCACAACTTAACTAATATTCATAATGTGAGTTGTATTAGAAATGACCTAGTTAAAGTTATGGGTATTAATTTGCTTTGGAACAAAGATGTAAATCTTTACATACTTGATTTCAATCTAAACATGATCGATTTCTATATTGTGAACTCAAACTTTATTCATCCTAATAATGTCTGGAGAGACATTGAAATTTATGGCTACCCTAAAAGTAATCGAAAAATTCTAAGATGTAACTTGATCAATAATTTGGATCAAAAGACATAATTATAGTAACTAGCTTATTTTTGGAGACCTTAATATATTTACTAGTGATAAATAGAAAATTGGGAGTAACCCTATTGACTCTAATCTCACTGCTAGAATTAATGATATTTTCTTTGTTTGTCAACTCTTTGATTTAGGTTATACATGCAATATGAAGATTTGGTATAACAATCAACAAGAGGAAACATTTATTCATGCTAGACTGAATAGATTCATGGAAAATAAGGGATGAACCAACAAATTTCCTTACTATAGCAATACCCATCTTCCTAGGCTTAAATCTGACCATAATCTTATTCTTCTTTAATTCCACTCAGACCTCCACCAAAAAAGTCAAAAGGGGTCTAAAAGAAAGGCCTAAAAGGTTTGAAAAGAATTTTGAATTGAAAAATTTGAGATACAAGAAACTATATATATATACTAACAACAAGATGCACATAGCTAAGGAGAATCTAAGATATTGGAGAAAGAAATAGTTTGGTAATTCCACCATTGAGATAAACAAGCTTAAAGGTGTTATCCAAACTCTTCAAGAGGATAATGATCTTAACAAGAATTTCAAAGCTATTGGGGAGAATCAAGAGAACCTGGATAAATTGCTCCTCTAAGAAAAGAGATGGTGGGGCCGAACGGCTAAGATGCATTGGCTAAGGGAAAGTGACATAAATACTAGACTTTTTTCACCAAAAATCTATCCAAGGAAGAACTCACAGTAAGATTAAACTCATTACTAAGAGTAATTGGCGATATATCTTATCAAGAAGAAGAAATTCAAGATACCTTGGTTGATTTCTAAAAAGGCCTTTTCAAGGATGATAGTAGTATTGACAATCATATGATTTTGTAGATCATCCCACTAGGCTTAATAAAGACATGACTGACCAGTTGAAGTCACATTTCACTAGAGAGAATGTGATTTTAGCTACGAAGAATCTTAAAAGAAATGCAACCCCTGGTCCTGATGGCATACCAGCTTTATTGTACCAATCTTTATGGAACATTGTGGGAGAGGACATCACTAGTATTATCCTCAAGATCCCCAACAATGCTGAGAGCCCCAAAAGATTCAATAAAACCTACATTAAACTTATTTCTAAAGTAAAAAAACCCTACTAACCCTAATGAGTACATACATATTGCTCTTTGTAATGTTTTTACGAAAATTATCACCAAGGTTATAACTAATAGGATAAAGCCTATTTTGCCTGTTAAAAAAAGGCTAATAAGTGACAATACTATGATAGCCTATGAAGCTTTCCACAATTTACACATGAAGACTAAAAGCAAAGAAGGGTATGTGGGTATTAATATGGATATGAAAAGGCTTATGATCAGTCGAATTGTAGTTTCATCAAGAAAACCCTTACTAACATTGGGTTTCTTCCTAATATTATCAATAACATTATGAATTGTGTGACTACACTGACCTTTGATATCATCATGAATGGCTACCCTACTTGTGACATTACTCATACTAGACGAATTCATCAGGGGGTCCCTTATCTCCATATATTTTTATATTATGTACTGATCTTTTTTCAAATCTTATTAGAAAGGATCAAAAAACAAAAGAATTATCAATATCTAAAAAGGCGCATATTGTCACTCATCTATTATTTTCATGTGATAGTTTGCTATTATACAAAGTAATAGGGAGAGATTCTAGAACCTTTCTCAACATAATTAACACCTTTAGGATAGATCTCGTCAAAAGATCAATTTTCCAGAAGTCAAAGATGAAGTTCAACAAGAACACCAGCCAGATCCAAAAGGATAAGTTTTCCAGTATCATCAGAGTCCTCATTGTCCCTAAAATTTAATCATACTTAGAATTGCCTACCCTTATTGAATATTCAAAGAACCATTTCTCCAGCTTCCTTGTGGATAGAGTCAGAAAAAGCTGGAATTATAGAAAGAAAAAGGCCTATCTTATCCTGGAAGAGCCATCCTTATCAAGGCAGTGGCACAAGTTATCCATATTTATGTGATGAGTTCATTCCTCCTACCTAAAAGCATGTGTAAGAATATGAATAGGTTAACTACAAAATTATGGCGGGGAGACTCTAAAATTCACTAGAAGAAGTAGAAGGATATATGTACTCTTAAACAAGAATGTGGTCTAGGGTTTAGATCTATTGAATATTTCAACAAGGATATGCTGGAAAAGCAGATCTGGAGACTTCACATAGGACCTCAATCCCTTATGGAAAAAATTCTACAAGCTAAAAACTATCCTAATTCTGACATTCTCAATGCAAAAATAGGGATAAAACCAAACTTCTTAGGGAAAACCTTCATAGTTGTATCTGGACTATTGAAAGGGAAGCTATTGCAATGTGGGAAATGGTAATAGAATTAATATTTGGTAAGACAACTAGATTCCAAACCAATTTAGGTTTAAAATACTAACACAAAATCCTTTTGAAACAAGGATTGTTGGAGTTAGGGGCCTCATTGATTAAGATAATGGTTGTTGGGACCTAAACATAATTAATAATATATTCATACCTATAGACAAAGAGGAAATCCTAAAAATTCCTCTATATAATTTTTAAGAGGGAGATTTTATCAGTTCAAAAGCAAACAAGGATGGGCATTATAATGTAAGATCAGGCTACTACTGTGTGAATGAGTGGCAGAAAAAAATATATTGAAAGATCCAATAAAAACCCTGAGAAGCAGGTTTGGAAGAAGATTTGTAATAGTAAGTGTTGTACCCCAAAATTTTCCCTCTATATTCTCAAGACATTTCTCACCAAAGGATCTCAAATGCTCAAGAAGTCTCAAGATTTGATCAGACAAGCTCACCTCCTAAGCACTGGGTCAAAATTAGGGTTTTGGTTTTCTCAAAGACAATTGGACTTTTGATGCCTCAAATGACTTAAATGGTTCATTATAGGTCTCCAAGATTGCTCATACCAAGTTTCAAGTCTTGCATCTCAAATTTGCTCAGTCAATTGCTCAGATGACTAAAATACCCGATGAAAGGGAAGATTGTCACAGTTTGTGAAGAGGAAGAATATATGGTCAGTCATTTGAATTCTTTCAAATATGTTGAAAATGATGGCGAATTCATTGAAACCCCTTGTCATACATTTAAGGTAAACCCTCCGACGATTGTTGTTGCTAAAGCTACTATTCCTGAGATCTCTAAGGACACACCAAGAATGGATTTTGTAATATGGTGGTAGAACTGACTTGGTGTTTTGTGTTTGATCGCAATTGTTGCGGATAACAAGAGTCACCACCGACTTTTATTTCATCCAATAAAGGAAAGGGTGAAAAGAACAGGAAAGACCTTTTGAGAATTTTCTTGAGTTCGGGGGGTAGGTTATGAAAAGGGAAGGTGTTAGCACCCTTTTCATCCGTAGTTATCTATGAGATCTTAGTTGCTAGCTCACTTTGAAAATGATTTGTAAATGTGCTTGTGTTTGTTTGAAAGTATTTTTGAAAAAGTTCCTCCGTTTGGGCGAAATTTGTAATGATTCTCGTCTCTATAAGAATGTATACAAAGTGTTGCCTTTTGAAAATATTTCATGAAAGTGTTGGTGTGTTTGAAAGATGTTTTATTTTAAAATG